TTTTTTTTTTTTTCTTTCGATTATCCTTCTAAAACTGCTAATGAATGAATAAATAAAGGGATTAATGAATAAATCAAACATATATTTTCTTTTCTGCTATATATATATATATATATAACAGTGGGAAACATCGATAAAACATCCCGTCATTATAATCATTAGAACCCAATCATACCTTTACGACCATTGAATCATATTATTCATAAAAGCCTATTTTAAATAGCTATAAAGTAAAATTTCTTATCATACAGCATCATAAAATTACATATTACATACAATTAAAAATGTTTTAAAATAATAAAAATAGCATTAGAACTTAACATTTTCAGAAATGATAAGAAAATTAGCAAATTTTCAGGAAATTGGTCCAATTACATATGATTCTAGAAGTAAATATTATGAGCAGAAAACTTCCGAAACAGTAATCAAATAATATTACACTTTAACCTTTTATTTCATTCTATGAGTGATAGTATAGAAAATTTTAGGATAAAAATTGATATTAAAAGAAAAAAAAAAGTGAAGAAAGGGAACGAAAAGAAAAATTATTAAGCCAAACAATAATTTTTTAAGTTCCTCGAAAAGATAATGAAGAGGAAATTTTTTACTAAGTTTCAATTAAAGTTTAAAGCGTAATAATGAGGTAAAAAAGATTGAGAGAAATCGTAATGCAACTAACATTTTGCAAAATTAATTGAATGACAAAAATTGTCTAATCTAGGGAAAAACAATTAATTGTACGCAGTTAAACTATGTTTGGTTAAGTAATTTTAAGCACAATTTCTGATTAATTAAGGAGTAATGAAACAATGAAGGATGAGGATTGTAAAAATAAGCCAATCTAAGCAGTTACATTAACTAAGTTAAACTTAAGTTAATGGGCGATAACTTGATTGATGTAAAATACGAACAAAATGAAACCATAATACGAAACAGATGAGCAATGCGAAGAATAGAATTTCATCATTTGTAAAGATGTAAACTGTAAATTTTTCTCTTTATTTTTTTAAAAAAAAGACCTTTTCTTCGTTTCATATAAATTTGCGGATGTTTTCAATTAAAGGAAAAGAAAAAGAACAAGCACTTTTAAAGTGTATTCTTAAGCAACATTAGCTAATCGAAATCAAACTTTTAGTTCAAATTTAAATTTTTACTAACTTCAATTTATATTTCATTAGAATCTCTCTCTCTTTCATATGTCTTTCTTCATTCTCGTCACAATAGCAGTAACAGTGTAAAACAGTGTAATTGTTTCCTCTCACTTTAAATGCTACTGATGTACTTTGATTAGCAAAAAATATTTATGGTAGTTTAAATTTAAAAAAAAAAGTTTTACCTTGCAAGAAAATAGTTCGTGTTTTTTTTATTGCTTGAAATACAAAGCACTTCCGTTAATGTCATCCGGATTAAAATAATCTGGATTTTTTAGGCATTTGTCGACATAATAACAAACTAATTAATTATGAGATGAAATTTTGTGAATGAAAATAAGGCAATGTGATTAAATGGAAAATGTTGATTTTTATAAAAGCAAAAGGTGATAAGAACGGGTGACATAAAATGACGAATTAAACGCGATGACGTGAAGTATTAAAGAGTAATAGTATGGGAATTAAGTAATTATAATATATAAATGGAATAGTAATTGAATAAAATGTATTCGGAAAAAAAGAAGGCATATTTTAACCGATTGAATTTAAATTTGAAAATGTTAAATTAGCGTAAATATTTGAAATCAAATTATTGACAAAATTATTTTAATAAGGAGAATTTTCAAAATTTCAAATATTTGGAAAAGAAAAGGAAGAATAAAATACGAATGGAAGAATTATACCAACTCTCCAATATACACTAGATCAGAAAGCTTCGAAATCAAGTAGAACATATATTTGACTAAATTATATTAAATTTCCATAAGTTTAATTAACTCCTTCAATATTCCCGTTTCTTTTTGCTGATCATTTAGTATTTCTCGATTAGTCTCTATCAACAAATTCGTTTGATTCCTATGAAATAAAGCTTAACAAAATTATTCTATCATATATCATTTTT